AAGCGATTAAAGAATAGGGATAAGAGCAGAAAATACCCAGAATAGGGATAAGAGCATAAAATACCCCTAAAATATACTCCGCGTAGTATTTTTACTCCCTATTTGAAAAAATGTGCCAAAAATATCCTTAATCTTTTCACATTGTGTAAAAATACTCCCTCTGACATAAATTAGTGTTGTAATACTTGTTTTGCCCCTTTTCTCTTCCGAAAATGCCCAAGGGGTATATATGCTCTAATCTCATAATATAGGGGTGTTATGTGCACATTACCTTATATTATGTTTTTTTAAAACTTTTTTTCTCTATATATATCTCTAAACATTTTTTTAAAAAAAACTTTGAGAAATTGTAGAATAAGGATTTGAATTTTTTGAGATTCCGGTTTACTCTTTTCCACTTAATTTTTTATTTTATTTTTTTGTACCAACACTGTTTTAAATAAAAAAAAATCCCAATATTAGTGTGCACTGGTTTTTGGAGTTTGGAAAAATTTTGTTTTATTTAGTTTGTACTTTATTTTTGTTCTTTTATTTTCTATTTTTATCTTTACTTTTCTTTTATAATTTTATTTTTATTTTATAAGTTTATCTTTACTTATCCATTGCCGGCGTCCTCCAATAGTGTCATTTTCGGTCATTTTATAAAATTATTTATTTTTATATATTTTATAAAATGGTTTAGTAAGAGTAATTTAGTTAACTTGGGGTTTAAATTTGTTAGAGGGGACAATTTGCATCAGATTGAAACTTTAGGAGTGTTTTTTGCATGAGAAGGACATCCTCCTATAATGTCTTTTTCGGTCATTTTACAAAATTAATTATTTTTATATATTTTATATAAAGGTTCAGTAAGAGTAATTTAGTCAACTTAGAGTTTAAATTTGTCAGAGGGACATATTTGCACCAAATTAAAACTTTAGGAGTGTTTTTTTGCACGTGAGAGATGTGATATGTACTGTAAGCATACTCTAGGAGAATTTTCTACACTTGACCCTAAAAGAATACTAACTGAAAAAAAGTCGTGTAGCATAGAAAAAAGGGAGAATTAAAAAAGATATGTGGAGTTTCGGAGAAAATAGAGATTAAATTGGGGGTTGAAATTTAGAAGTATGGAGAAGTTTAGGGCCTACTTGGTTTGTCACTCAAAATATATTTTGTTTTCACTAAAAATCAGAAAAATGTACAAAAACTAGTGACTTTGCTTGATTTGTAATTCTGAAAACAGTACTTTTAGAAAACTGTTTTTAGATAATTATAAAAGATAGTTCTCTGAAAATAAACACTTTTATATATAACTGAGTTTTTAGAAATCAGTTTTCAGAAAATTGAACTAAACAGAGTTTTTGTTGAGTTTTTTATATTTAGTTATTTGAAAATAGAAAACTGTTTCCAGAATTACAAACTAAATAGGTCCTATATATTTGGTTCAGTTTTCTAAAAACTTGATAAAAAAAATAAAAAATAAAAATAATAAAAAAACAACTTGTTTTCGGATAATAGTTTTTTTATAATCTAAAAACCGCTTTCTATTTTCAGACCAATATTTTATGGATGACAAACCAAACTAACTCTTACAATTTTAAAATTTTATATATACAAAATGAAAATATTAAAAAATCAAAAAGAGACAGTTTTAGAATTTAAAATTTTATATATATATATATATATAAATCAATCTATGGGAATGTTTGGACTCATTCTTAACATATTAGTTTTTTTTTTAGGTAACTAAGATGTTTTCTTGTTGAAATTATTATTTTTAATTATTATCTCATTCTGTATTGTTAATCCAGAACCTACCATGTAGGTTCGACTTTGAAGACGGTATTGCAAGAATTCTTTCTAAATTAAAATTGATACGTCACATACTTTGTGAGAAATTAAAAAATAGTTACATCTAGTGGGAACACGTCTCTAAGTCAACACAACAAAAATAACCTATTAGAAGAAAATGTTGCACAAGTTGTAAGAATCTGGACTTGGTATTATCAATTTGAGTTAGACAAGAAATAGAAAAATGACAACGAAGTTGGTACATTTTGAGAGAGAGAGAATTTTTGCCCAAGAATGAAAATAACATCGCTTAGACGTTTTGGATTTACTATAACGTAAGCATGGACTAGTCAAGGTTCACGGCTTATTGATCATATGACCATCATTTCTAAGCCATTCCCTAAGGCCCTACATGTGTGATAGACAAATTAATTTTAATATGGGGTATAATTTAAAATGATTATATGGTGGACATATTAGCTTTTTGTTATACTATATTGTTGTCAATTTTATTTTATTTTATTTTTAAAAAAAATAAATCAAGAAAAAAAAGGCTTAAATACGAATACACTTGTTCAAAAAATTAAACACTATTCAAAATAAGAATATATTGGCTCGAAAAATTAAATACTTTATCAATTAAGTCACATACTTTATCATTATTTTGCTTATATTATAAAATAAAAAAAAGTTGAGTAAATTACTGCTAAATATATAATAGGGGAAGTCCATTTCCATTTGGTCAAGGGAATTTCTATGGAAAAATTAAAGAGTTGTCATGAGGAAGTGGGACCCACCTTGTTGACTTTGGATCCTCGAAGATTGAAATTAGGTAAGAATAAGATGTGTGTTGGTTTGAATATTAGAAGGAAGATTTGTATGATTGGTGACTTTGTGTGCTCTTTATTATTATATTCATGTAGGCAAAGTGATGTGAAATCGCGCTCTCTCTGTCTCTCTCTCTCTCTCTCTATCTGACGTGGCATAAAATCACTAACACTCAAAAAAAAAAAAAAAAGTATGACACGTGGCAAAACTTATGAGGCTATAGATTTCTTCAATAAATAAAATAAGTGACTCAAAATATTTGGTAACTTCAAATCTAACCATTACTTTATATAAACATTCCAAACACTTTTTTACATTGTAGTATTAATTTATGGGATATACTTATAGCCTCATCTAATGCACACTAATTGGCACATCTCTCATTTTCCTTTCTTTTCTTCCTCCTATTTTTCAACATTCTTATCCTTCTCTCCCCTAAATACATTCCTCCTTCCACCTATTAAACATCACTTACAACTTTTGTCTCTAAAGTTATTCATTCACACGTCAAATTGTTGCAATCCATTCACATAGGTTGGAACAAACCAAAAATAAAAAAAAAACTTTTTTTCATACGAAAAGAGGTTTTTTTCGGTCCTATTTAAAACTCACCCACCCATTTTACCGATACTTCAATAAGTAAAATATTATTTTTAATACAATACCTGAAAGTGAAATTATTAATTTAAATTTAAATTTTGGTGTCACAATCATGATTCAACTGCTATGGCCTCGAAAGCTAACATTTAGAGGTTCAGAAAGTAATTAATCACCTCTTATTCAAAATTCAATTATGATAAAGATATACACACACAAATATATATGTTTATATATATATATGAGATGCTAATTCCATGGTCCAAAGTTATTGTAACCTTTCTTAATTCCCACAGTTTACACGTGCAGATTGTGCAAATGTGAACATGAATATATAGAAGTGGCCAAAAAGAGAAAAGGAAGAATGTTTTTAAAAAGGTGTATATTGTCCGAAAGACCAAGCAACTGTTTGGCTTTGAATATTATGATGAAGTGAAATTATTTGGTTTGTGAGGTAACATATTTCAAATACTAATAATATACAAGAGAAGATAGTTATGTTATTGTCAAAACGTACTAGTATATGCTTTTTGCCAAAAGTCGTCCCAAAATTTATTTTAGTTTAGTTTACCCTTGAGGTGGATAATTAATTACACTGCACAATTTGAGGGGTATTGAAAATTATTTGAACGGGTAATATACTAGATATGAATATGGAAGAAGGCTGACGTATGTGAAAGGAATATGGGCTTCTAGCTAAAAGCTGCATAAGCATCGGTTTTTATTAGAGTTGCAACTTAGTCCGGCCAATCCGAATCCAACCTCAGCCCAGCCCAGCCCAGCCCAATTTTCACGGAATTGGAAAACTATTTTTACAATTAGGGTTCGGCTAGAATTGAAAAATATCAACCCAAACTTAGTTAAGTTGGACTTGGGTTAAGGTGCCATCAACTGTAGCCCAACCCGAACCTAAGAATTTTTAGAAATTTGTATTAAGTTTTTAAGATTTTTTTGTGCTTTGATTCTACTACGAAACTAACTCATCTCAACAAATTTTAAGTAACCGGACTTTTTAATCTGACTTGGACTCGAGTTAAGTAAATTAGGGTTGGAGGTAAGATACAATTAAATATTTCATACGTCGAATAACCCTCTAACCCACCTAAGTTGTAGCCCTAATTTTGATCCACCTTTTGGGTGGACTCTACCAAACAATTGGAGAATGAATATATGAATTCTGGCACTTGAGGACTTGCAAAGCCTCATCAATCGAACTCTGAGCTCTCATTACTGTTCCCATAGATTGCTTTAGTTTTTTTTTATATCTAATTTGGCTTCTCTTTGGCCAATCATCTTATCCATTTGATTTGATAAGGTATTTGGGATGATGACCCTGAAAAGAGCTCTGAAGGCACTTTTTTGAATCCCAATTCACCAACAGAGATTGCCTATGAATGTTAATTTCATATCAATATATTTCTACATACAATTTCCCAATAAGAAGCCCTGGTTATGGTTCTCTTACTGCTGTAACTTATTAAAAATGTAACTTCATATATTTCTAAGCCGCATAACCACTAGCCTCCTTAAATATAGGTCCACAGCATAATTTTACTCGCAAATCCGACTAATTTTATGTGAGTAGAGATTGATGCCGAATAATAATGGCTGACATCAGCCCCCATCCACATAATATGAACCATGATTGATTCTCACCAGAATCAAAATGAGCTGATAGACATCCAACAAACACAAGACAATATTGATTGCTTTTTTCTATGTTCCCAGCAAATTCACATGCTCAACGCCCAGGTCTTACACTCCCCCATTGGATACTGTTAAAAATCAATGGTATCCATGACTTTTACGAAGAAAACATCCAAATTTTGATACGATGCAAAGGATACAAATCACACTATCCATGGTAGTAACAAGGAAATTATTCAGAATCGAGAACAGAAAGTATCGAGTCTGTTACAATTGTTGTCTCATAACACGTGTTCTTATGAGTCCCCTTTTACAGTAGAAACAAACGTCAACCATTTCACCAATCTCAGCAATCTTCCTTCCTGTTAAAATTCAAGCAACGTCAAAGAAGCATAAACATAGAATCAACACTAGCTAAATTTCGAAAATAAATAACAATAGCTACTGTGCCTCGTGTTCATAGGCGAGTGAGCAAATGAGCCACATCCGCATGGACCAATTGCCACTCAAAGTTGAGGAACCCTTCTGGGCTATAAGTTTCTTGCACTTTAATCCCCATAGTTTTTAGTAACTAACCATTAGTAACAATGTAAAAGGACTATATTGACCTTATGTAAGAGAAATACGTTATATTATATTTTAAATGAAACCTGTGAAGGTACACATAATTGCCCAATGGCGCACAACATATTTTGTCAACATAAAGGGTAAAAACATCATTTAAAGAATATAATATCACTTTCCGTCATTATATTAATGCTCATGTGGCCATCATAAGGAGCTATGTGCAACTTTTTTTTTTTTTTGTAGATTAGAGGGTTATGTGCCAAAAACATAGTACAGTGAAGTGCATGGGGAAGTTATCTGCAATGAACACAATACATAAATATGTAAACATACTTTTGTTATACACACACAAAGAAAGGAAATGATTGATTAGTAAGGAAAAAACAAGACTTCGCTTGTTTTAAAAAACATGGGCAAAGCAAGTGACACCAACTCTCCTATCCTTTGCTACCAAATCCTTCTTACTTTTGAGACGATAGCCAAAATACTATTTCAAGAGTTAGGCTTTCCATCCTACTTCCTCCTAAACCTCTCCTTTACCTCATCAATTTTAAAACAAACATAAGATAAGCTGTCCCTTCGCATTTCCTTTTCCCTCCAACTCCCTCAATCCAAACACAGCATTACTTTGGACATGGATAGGTGTCTCCCAATAAACTAGGAAACTAGTGCATTAGGAACAACAACACTGAAATAGGTGGTAGGAACAGCTAGAGTAATTGGAACACTGGAACTACTTTATTACACCTAACGGTGTGATTTCTACAAGCATATCAATAGCACCATTTCAAATTTCTGGTCTCATTCCAAACATGCCCCAGATCCACATTCTAATATAGCATATTATGAAGTCTATCAGAAGAGCAATGCATTCACCTCCTGAGGATTAATTGGTTTTGTTAAGTACAGTTGAAAGATTTTTTTGGCAACAACTTGATGATTGTTTTTCAATTTTTGCTGTCCAAAACTGTTGTAGCACACTAGTTAACGTATGGCACTTGACAGGAAGGGGTAGGTAGAAGATTCAAAACTTCTTGCTGACTAGAACAAAGGGGAGGAAGAAGAAGAATAAAAATACCAAGCATAATTAAATCAATGTGGTGTATTCCAGGCAAGTAACTAGTCCAAGCACCCCCATGTCCTACAAAAATCAAACTACTTTTTGTTGACCTCAAAACATTACACATGCTCAGCAAAAATAAATAAATGAATAATCTTTTAGTATCAATTCCTCAAGTTTCACAAACCAATTTCCAAATAATGACTATTCTCCTGCTAAATTTTGCTTTGATGTACATACAAATATTACTTAAAATAGAATTTTGAACCAATACTTGCCCCCCACAACAAACACACACAAATAAGGATTTAAGTTCACCAATCCAACTGAATTGTAAGTATTGCTTTCATATGGCTCGTGTTATTGTGCAGGAAAGTAGCACACTTTTCAATCATTTGCAACGAAACAAGCAAGCTATGAAAAATAGCACCTGAATAAGTGTGTTTGTTTTCAAATTCTTAGGACTAAGGATTCTAAAAGTTAAAATTGCTGTTATTAGAATATACTTGGACTAATATATATAGAGACATGAATTTTAAAATTTCATTAAAAGCGCTCAAAAGGGAACAGCTGGACAAGAGGCACTAAACTCTCAACAATCCCCAAAACCCCTATACTCTCAAACTATCCACAAAATCTACCCAAGATTTACAATATCTCCCATTTACCCAGAGAACTCAAAATGGAATATTTTAGGAGCTTCTTCCACATCAAAGGACCCTTCTATTCCTCTCGCACCACAAACCCCACCACAAGCAAAGGGAGCCACCCTCCAAGCATCTATGGCTTGACTACCCACTATACAACCTCTCTAAGTCTTGAGCATGCTCAACGTGGAACCCAGTGAGACCAAACAGAGCAACGAATGTCGCCCACACATCTCTAGCCACTGAACAATGCAAAAGAAAATCCATTCCACCCCTTCCGAATGAATTTCCAAACCCCCCATACCAGCTGGAGTTCTTACCTCTATAGAGCTCCAGATAACCCAATACTTCCCAAATTTGCTTCGGATAACCCTGCTCCATCACATGTTCCTCTCACTTGGACTTTAAAAATATCATTTCCTTCAATTTTATTTATTTATAATTTTTTTTTTTTTTTTTAAAAAAAAGCCAACCTAATTTTATCAAAAAAAAAAAAAAAATTCATATATCTTGACAAGCCAAAAGAATTAATAATTTAACTTGTCCAAAAAAAAAAAAGAAAAAAGAATTAAAATTTTCATGAACCCAATTTTTCAAAAATGCCTTTAAATGTCGATGAACCATCTTTCACCAAAAATCATTGCTTAAAAAAAGAAAAGAAAAAAGATCATGTTTGATTGAATTATCATAGAAGAGATTTGAATGACTAAAAATTAAAGGCAGTTTCCATAAACGTGTAGAACCAAAAGAAAACGCTTTCTAGCGGGACCCACTTTCATCTCTTTTTTCAAAGGACAGTTTTTTGATAACCAGCCAGCAAACAAATTCTCGAACTATTTTCTATTTCTCTGTTGTCTAAGAACATAAACTGTTCTCAGAAGACCTTAACATGCTGTCAATTTTGAGTCAAAAATGAAACTAGACATGTCCTCTTAACAATCCTCGCAAAAATATAATTGATGAGGAATGGCAGTTCTGCAAATCAAGGTAGAAATTAGGACAGTTACATTTCATGCGAATTTAGGTTCTACAGTAATTTAATTCCTGAGAACCTTGCCAAACAAAACAACCAAGCTTCTTTTATTTCTAGGAAATTTTTTTCCAGTGAATACCAACGTAATATACATGCCCTAAAAACGAAGCAACAGAATATCAAGAATAAAATAAGAGAAGCTATCTATAACATTAGAAATGAGAAATACACAGACTTTTTCAACCCAAAAAAAAAAATCCAACTCTTACAAGGAAAAAAATGACATTGAGATGATTCTGCACTGAAATGAAAGCGAATTGATGAATCATAAAATAATAATAATAATTCAAGTGAAAGATGTTCAAGTACTATATCATAGTATTGAATATAGAATGGTAGAAAATAACCTCCTACATATTGATGATTCATCTCTACTAGAATCCTATCACCATTACCGGATTCACCACCATCATGTCAATTATATGGCTTCAACATGGGAACGGAGACTAAAAGTCTAGAATTTGAACCAAATAAAAAAAAATTTGCAAAGACTGATGTGAAGACGACAATTATGGGATGAAAATAATGTTTATTCTTTTCTGGAAGAAAAATGAATCTTCACTGCCAAAAAGGGCCTAAGATCAGTTGTTAAACCTGTTAGAATGTTTATATATATATATATATATATATATATATATATTCTTATGTTGGGTCATTATGTAATTACATATAAGTTGGTAGGGCCCTTGTGTTATTAAGTTAGTCTTGTATCTTTATAGAAGCCTATTTAGGCTTAGGGTTAAGATGATATATATGAAATACACAAAGTCTGCACTCTCTCTCTCTCTCTCATGATTCTGAACATGATATCAGAGCTTTACGAATTCATGGGTGTGAGAAACTATAATTGTGTTGTTCTTGTATAAAGATCGGAATCGTGATTGTGGTGTTGGTGTCTCTGCCTCGTTCGTCGTCGCCGGCAGGATTAAGAGCTCCTCGTTCGTCGTCGTCATTGCCGCTTTGGTTGTCAGCGAGCTCGCCGACATCTACCGTCGTTATTTGCAGAGGTGAGGTTCATCGATTCGTGGTTCCTTTTTTAGCCGAACGTTGCAGAGGTTCTGATTCGGTGTGGTCGCTGCTTATTGATTCGGCTGTTGCTTGTGACTGGGTCGCCGTCGCCTCCGCTGTGTTGTTCCCCGGTGTCTGTGAAGTTGTGAAGAAGACGACCCGTGTTTGGCTACACGATTATGCTATTCCAACCTTGGTTTACTAAAACTGGGATAGCAAGACCCGACCCTTTTGACCAAATCTAGCTCATTTGCCCAGATCCGGCCCGTTTGCCAGGTTTGGCCAGACTACAGATTCTGCATTTTTTTTTTTTGTTTTGGTGGGTTCAACATGGCATCTACTTCAAATTTGCTTTCTCCCACATCAAGTTTTCATTCTCCCATGACTTTTGTTAAACTCAATCGGAAGAATTACATATTGTGCGCTAAATTTGTTGCAATTTTTCTCAAAGGTAAAGGTCTTGGTAGTCATCTGACTAAAGGTAAAATAAAGGAAACTGATGCTTCTTTTGATGCATGGGAAAAGAAAATGCTCAGATCATCTCTGTGATGTTAACCAGTATTGAACCCCAAATCAGTTCAACATTACTTTATTTGGATACTGCTAAGGAGATATGGAAGAGGTTGAAGCAACTGTATTCTGGGACTGGTAATATCACCCGTGTTTATGAGCTTTGTAATCAATACTTCAATCTGGAACAGGGTAATCACAGTATAAAAGAGTATTATTCAAAAGTTATGGGAATCTGTGAGGAGTTGAATATGTATCAGCCCATTACTTCTGATGTTCAAAGTATGCAACAACAACGCGAGGACTTTAATGTTGTCCGCTTTCTTACTGGTCTATCATCAGCATATGAGCTTATTCATGCACAGATTATGGGCAGTCCCACACTTCCATCTCTTGCTGATGTGTTTTCTCGACTTCAGCGAGCTACCCTTGCAAGTGGCACCTCAAATTTGAATAATGGGCAGAGTGGTGAGCGTTCAGCATTGGTAGTTTCAAAGGGTGAACATAATGCTTACCGTGGAGGTCGTGGGGGACGCT